GCCGAGGTCGAGACGTGGTTGCCCGCAGCGCGCACGGGCCTCCGCGGGTCGAGCGCCGTCAGGACGTCGTGAGGAGTATATAGTCGAGAGCCTGTAGAAAGTCCGAATTGTGTTAGCAAATGCTACGAGGGGCGCCGGAGACGACTGCATACCGTTTGACGATCGTCGTCGTGGTCGTACGCGTGGGGGCGAGAGCGAGAGCGCAAAGGCCAGCGCCCTCGGGGGACTCGGAGACGCGCCGGGAGCTCCCACGAGCACACGTGCGTGTCTTCCCAATTTGGACTTTCGACTTTCGACTCCCGAGTTCCGAACGGGCGCTTCCTCTACCTCCTTCTGCGCCGCGTGCAGTGGCACACTCTCTCGGCTTTCCACAATCCATCCTCGGCCAACTCCAGCCAGTTTTGCGCCTGTTGTTGCACGACTTTTTGTCATACCTTACATTGTTGCAACAAAGCGACCCCGCCGCGTGCGTGCTTGGCGGGAATTCGAGGACGGTATAGTCTGTTCGGGCCGATTCGTTATTCCAACGTTCATTGTTAATTTTTTGCGAACAAAGCACCGCACAAAGGCATTGAACGCTCTCTTTTAGTGGTTTCTACACCATCTAGGATACTTTACTTCATTGTCTGTTGCTGCATCGATCAGCACCCCCCTGCTAAGCGAGATTCCTAAAGGATGTTTGCCATTATGCAATCATGAGGACGCGCCCAACACATGTTATAACCTGGGGGTCAGGAAAGACTCTTCACAACCTTCCAGGATCCAAGTTCCAACAACTCACTCTCATCCGTCCAATAGACCTGTCTTTCAATGTTCTCTGTCGACGTCATAGGAGCGGATGCGTCTTCGCACGCCTGTGGTGACACTGAAGAATCGCCATCCTGCTACGGCCATGATAATGAGGTGCAGGAGCACAATAGTGAAATGTCAGGCGATCTCGCCGTCAGGTGAGCACATCATGCTGCAGAAGCATGTCGATACTGACGCGCTGTCAGTCACCCTTCGGACCCATGCGAGTGGCGTCTGCTTCGGGGAGTGACCTCAAGTGCCGGGCCGAGCGAGTCAGCCAAGCCCGACATAGCGGCCTTTTATCCTTCAGGTTTCCTAGTTTTACTGGTTCCCAAAGAATGATCGCTAACAGATTAATCAAGGTGCTGGATTGGTGCAAGCTACCGACGACTTTACTCAGGTCTGGGGTCGTCATCCTACACTTACAAGCGGTAATGCGAATTCCTCGCTCCCAAAATGAGATACACTAATAGGAGGCAGATGTAGGCAACATTCAAAGCTCGGAATTTGGGGGCCTTTATGAAGTACTGCCTGTGGAACAGGAACCGACGCCGTCAGCCCGGGACACCCCATCCTTCCCCGGGCTACAGGGCTCGGTGCGGGTAACCATCACCCCGCATCTTCGCGTCTATCGTCTGGTGGCATCATTTTCAGCTTTGGTCAGAAAGGCTGTCCAAGGTTCTCCGGAATGCGCTACACTTGTACAAGAAACTCGGGCATCTTATGAGCGACTCGCTTTTGCCTTGGCGGACAGCGCTCCACTTTTCGTGCCCTTGGTATCCGAGGGGGGCTCCCACGCTGCGGCTCAATGGGCGTCCTTCCATGAGAAGAGAGAGATAGATGGCGGGGAGATTTTCTTGGATAACGTCAGAGATGACGTTCAAAGGTACGTGCTGCCAGAGCACAATCACAGCGGCCAGTTTCTTCTGACATCATCTTATTTCCATTTAGCTATCTCACGCGTGAACAGACCGTCACTATTCCCAGTTCCATCAAATGTTTCTTTATCCACCGCTTTCAGAAGCGCTGGGCGTTGCTTGCGATGAAGTGCTTGGATGAGGTCGAAGCCACGTTCAGACGCGTCCTGGCGCATATGGTGCAAGATCATTTTTGTGGAGTTGACCGATTGGGGCACGCTGTTGGGTGAGTGCCTTGCATATTTCTCAGATCAATTCTTGACGGCAGAAAGTAGTGTGGTTCTGATCGACTTGCTGGGCGTCCACGTTGCGATTGCAAAGCAACAAGTCGAGGTTTTGCTCAAATACGAGTCCAACCCTCCCTCAACACAGAACACCGCCGAGCTTGCCAAACTCCGCGGAGAATATCTGGCCCTCTACAATCATCAGAGTGGGAGGACGAAGGCCGGCAAAGGTTCTCCAGATGCTTACGAGTCCAACGGGACAGCTCAAGGCAATCCAGACGGACAGCCGTTCGACACATGCGACGATCTCACCTGCCCTGCGGTCCCTTCTGTTCCTATGGCCGCTCATGTGGTTGAACATGAGTACGCCGAGGAGGTGAAGCTCATGGCCGATGTCAGGGCTTACTTGGACATCTCTCGCAAGGTACGTGGTCTTGGATTGCTCGCATTTGGAGGACCAGTAAGCTGAGAAACTGTGATTTCTGTAGCGTTTCATGGACTATATTCCTTGTGCAATCGATGAGCATCTGCTCTTTCAGTACTCATATGCCGTACATGGAGTACTCGTTGAGAACTTGGGCTTAGTTGGGGAGGGCACGAGCGCGCGATGTGCGAGCTACCTCGGCGAGGGCGATGGTCTTCAAGCGTCGTAAACCTCGTTGAACGGGCAGACATAGTGCAAAGGAGTTGTCGCATGTAGTAAGTTGTCGCATGTAGTAAGTTGTCGCATGTAGTAAGTTGTCGCATGTAGTAGTAGGGCGCAGTCAGTATGAAGCTTGATTGCGCGAAAACTTATGTGCGCGTATGATGTGGTCGAGTTTGAGTGTGGCGCAGCGTCGACAAGCCGCACGCTCTATGGTGACCTTATGTAGCGCACAGTCCCAGCAACGCCGGTGTTCAGAGGTTCAACCGGCACCGCGCTCGCAAAAGCTCATAAGCTCCCCTGGGATCCGAACGGCCCCGGGCAACTCACCGCCGAATAGTGGATAGACGTACCCGGATACACACCGTGCCAGATGGCCCCCGGGTGATGGGTTTGAGGGTATGGGAGCGATGAGTCAAATCACCGAGGTCGCGCACGGATTGGCATTAATGTGCTTGCGGCGCGTGAAAATATCGCGTCATGCAACGCGCACATGCGAGGCGGAGGATAAAATATAAGACTCTAGTAGTCACCATATGTCAAGCGATGAGGTGGTAGGTTTGCATCCGATGGCAGTGCGGCGAGACGATAGGGAAGCTTGCATGTCACTAAGGCGGTAGGGATCAGGAGAATCTCCATTATCACCGTCAAGCTTTCGTAGCGTAGGCGCAATATCTGCTAGTAAGATGAAAGGCGGGAATATGCTAGTAAATGCGGGGTCGGGTTGATGGATCTATGTATGTGCAACAAGGTGCTCATCGCATGTATTAGGGAAAGCGTTCGTGATTGTCGATAGCAAGAAAGCAGGAGTTCAAGAGAGCACGAAAGCAGGGGTTCAAGAGAGCGCGAAAGCAGGGGTTCAAGAGAGCGCGAAAGCAGGGATTCAGGAGAGCAGGAAGGAGCGGTCCAAGAGAGCAAGGCATAACCGGGAGATATGTGCAGGGACAGGTGAGATGCATACCTGATCAATTTACTTCGGCGGTCTCTGAGCGACGAATGAGAGCACCTTGCGCACGCGGAGCACTGGAAGGCGTTTGACGATCGCGGCGTAACCCGCCTCGACGTGAGACGAGTCGTTGCACATGTTGATGAAGTGCACTGAAGCGAGCGAGAGGAGGACACTGAGTGTTTGATCCATGCCCGCCCACGCGTCCGTGTCGACGGCCTCGATTTCCGTAACATTGATGTGCGCAATGATGTTGACGGTAGAAAGGCGTACGAAGGCATGTGGGTCGAGTTGCGCGAGGATGTGGACCCCAAGAAGCAGGGAATGCAGCTTCGTGTCCACTGTAAGAGTGACGAGGTTGGGTGGATAGTAAGGCATTATGGCCACCACAGGCGGACGTGCAGTCACCTCCCTGGTGTCTGAAACACAAAAACGTGTTAGCTTGCTAGTATCATACAATACGTGTGAGCACTACGCACCTTCCTTGCGCCAACGGGGCAGAACAAGATGTATGTGTCGCAAAGTAGCGTACTCGACGATGGTCTCATTCAGCTTTGCGACTTGGTCTAGCTGGTAGAGCGAGTATATCAACGTCTCCGGCTCGACGTGGGTCACCAGCCAAGGCAAGACCGTCAGAGGGATGTGCGAGTTTGACTCCGTGATTTTGAGCGAGCGCAGTGTGAACTTTGCTCCGCGTGGCTCGGCGGCGTCCTGGTCAGAGGTGCCGTACAGGGAACATATCCGCCCACAGCGCAGAGTATGTATGAGGGGATGTCCCTTAAGCAACGCATCTAAATCTGTGTTGCAGCGAAACCAGCAGTCGAACAGAGAGAGCGAGTGGAGGCGCGGGAAGGATGACGCGAACATGGCCACCACATGTTGGTCGAAAGGAACATCCTTGAAAGCGAGGCGTACGACGTTAGGTAGACGTGGCGCGATGACGAGCGCAAATACCCGGAGGAGTTTGGGTGGTCCATTTCCATTCAGAACGGCCTGCAGAGACTCGAAGGCGGCCCCTTCGCCGGCTTCGAAGTACAGCTCGCGCACGTGACCGGTGAGATGGGGGTTCTTGAGGAAGAGTAGGACGGCGCTGACGAAGTTCTCGGCTTTTATGACCATCCTATGGAATATATGATGCTGTGCTGAAGCGACGAGTGCGTGGCAGATGAGCGCGCAGCTGCAGAGTGTTGAATGATCGTTGTGCAGGTGATCGACGATTTGCTCAAGGAGTTCGAGGGGGAGGCGCCATTTTGGCTGTGACAGTCGAGTATGACGTGTACGCGCCTGAAAGCGGCGGTGAGTGATGCTGGTGGCGAACTTCCACGTACGAGACACAGTGTCCCGCAGCACGCCGTTCCATTTACGCTTCTCGAAGAAGTTTATGCCAAACTCTTTGCTGATGGCCTCAAGAGACTGTTCCATCTTGGCGCGCTTCGCGTATATTCCAATGTGGAGTGCTACCATGACCGAGCCGTGAGCTGGGATAGCCAGTGACCGGTGGGCACCTGTGCTGCTCACCTATTGTAGTTTCAGGCTCAAACCGGACTACGGCTCCATGTAATCCGCGATGCGTGGACAGCGCCCCTTGTCGAGACAAACTCCAGGGACAGAGAAGTCAAATGTTTCTTGCCTGTGGGTAGACCATAGAGCTCCAGAGTAGAAAGGCTGTGGCACGAAGTGGTGTAAACTGAGCACGGGGCGCAGCAGCGGATTTACGCGCGAGGATGCGCGTCTAAACAAATTTACACATGTTTGCCGGATGTTCCGCAGATTCGGGATAGCTCTTACTCCGGCCCTTGTGCACCTTCGCACAAGGGGTTAAGTTAGGTTCATCAACCAGAACGTTCAGAGGCGGAAGACATTCGTTCCTCCCGACGGGAGGCTGGACCTGTGTGTGAGGAAGGTGTTGAGGTTTGCGGGGCGTCGCGACATGGGTCGGACGGCGCGCCGTGAGGGCAAAGCGCTCGCAGGTGCCGGGGGCGCTCGACGAGCGCGGCGCGGCTTCCTGTTTAGGGAACCCGTCGTGCGGACTCCCGCTATGTCTGTTCTCTCCTCCTCCTCCCACGTCGTGACTCGGGCGTTGGCCCACCTGCTACGACGAGGACTGGGGCCTCGTTTGCGCTTATTTGTATCTGTTTGTTCGCAAAATTTCTGGCTTGTACCGCGCATGCGCGCGGCCATTCTCACCTCACACTAATGTATCTTCCACTAGGTAATGCTTCCCACCGACACTATCGACTCCATCACCCCCGACCGGATCGCTGGATGGATCAACATCCTACACGGCCCGCTCACCTCCCAGTGCGAGGCTACCGAGGTCCAATTCAACATGCTACTCGACATCGTTCTTGTCTACAGGGCCTTCGCGCTCGGGCACGTCGCAGTCAACCCCGAAGACTTCGTCATGTTTGCAGATCGTCTGATCAGGGCTGCGAGCGAGCTTCATCCATTTGATCGTGCCGACGAGGAGCTTGCGGACATCGCGGCCTGGTTACGTATCAACTTTCCCAAGGTATGTGTCACTGTGGATAGTTTGTGGCGCAAGGGATCGTATAGCTCACATCCACTTTGCACAGGCTGTTTTCGAGATGGACGGACTCGACCTGACGAAGCTGCATCCTCAGAGCTCTCTGGAACCGCCACACCGCTTCCGGCTGTTACATCCCATGCGACAACAACTCCGATTTCCGGGACTTCATTCCAACTTCCGGGACTTGCACCCTTTTCCAGGACATATCCCATTTCTGGGACTTAGTACTGTACTTCCGAACTCCCGGAACTCCGGCCGTACCTCCGGTCCTTTAACTCCCGAACTCCCGAACTCCCGAACTTCCGTTTGTATTTCATATGTCTCAGATTGCGTCATTCTCTTTTGTTAGCGCCATAACAATAGGTTTATTGTCTTCTGCTCCGGAACTCCATTTCCGTACTTCCTTATTGTCTCGGCTAGACAATAAGCTTACGTACTACTTATACCGAGCTGGAATACCATAGTTACTCAGTTCGAATATCTGGTTTACCACATTCTCTTTCATCTTGCTTGTCACCTTCCATACCTCCCCTTCGCTACCTTCAATCCAACTACTTGTCAACCTCCGAACCTCCGAACCTCCGAACCTCTGAACCTCCGAACTTCCAAACCTCCGAAATTAAGGACAAACGGAACAAGTCCCAGGGTGTTGCTAATAGCTTCGCCAAAGTCCTCCCGCTGAGTCATCGTTCCCTAAACCTCCGAACCTCTGAACGTCCTGAACCTCCGAACATCCCGAACCTCCGGACGTCCCGAACCTCCGGACTCCGAGCCTACGTACCTCCGGAATCCGTACTACCGCATTTTTGGGTTTTCGAACCTCCGCATTTTCGGACCTTCGGACTTCTGCTCAGCACGCTCCTAACACCGGCCGCCCCCACCTCAGGCTACAGAAGCCCTCGCACACAGCGGCCATACCCTTGCAAGCAACCTCGCTCAGCTCTCCCTTGAGGCTGCGATACTGGACTACCCTTCCAACCTGCTCCCAGGCTTTGCGCGTGCCGCACAGGATGTGCCCTCGTCCGACGCGCCTGCCTCCGTGGCGCCCGCGTCCATCCCTGTCCCTGTATCTGTCCCCGCATCTGTCCCCGCATCTGTCCCCGTGTCTGCTTCTGTGTCCCTCCCTGCAACCACTGTGCTGCCCGTTACGCCCTTGCCCAAGACCGCTGTATTCACGCTGCCATCCTCGCCGTCTCCTAGTGCTGCGCCCGTGACACCCCTCCCGTCCAAACCCCTCTCGACGGTCAGATCACACAAGATGCTCGCCAGCCCTGCAATCCAGCGCATGCAGCAGCTTCTCACTGCGTCGCCGCGCATGCCTTCCAGCACCGTCACCTCGCCACACACATCATCCAACACCACCCCGCCTCACACGTCATCCGCTGCTTTCCATGCGCTCGGCGCCGACTTCGGCATTGATGATGTCCTTCCTGTCCTTATGGAGTGCACGCGGCGCGCACGCCACCGCCATCATGCTCCTGCGCATCATCGCCCGTCTGCTGTGGATGGTGCACAGTCTGACTCGGACTCTGCCCCGTCTCTCATGACGGTGGACTGCTCGTCGTGCAGTGAGTATGACACCCAGGATGGCTCGGACCTAGAGGTGGGGGGTTCCTCGGATGTCGAGTAGGGTTCTGTGCTCAAGATATGTTACGGTAGCCCATGTACAATGTATTGCTGGTTTTGCAATGACTACCTATACTTAGCCTTTGACACTTGTACAATGTATCACTTGTTCCGCTTGCACAATGACTTTCATAAATGCCCGAAAACGAGGAATTCATTAGCAGGATCCGTGTCGGTTCACTACAGATCTGCACCCAGATCCCAGCTCGCCACCTGGACCCGTACATATCCGCAACCCCGGATAACCCGGACCTGGACGAGCTGGACCTGCAGGCCCAGCTCCGGGTTTGGGCGGCTCGATCTGCGTAAAGACCCGGAGCCTTGCCCAGCCTTAACTTTGACTACTCATGACGGTATGGGAATCCCAGTTAGACGTACTGAATGAGTTAAAGCTAGCACCAGGGCAATGAAGAACCGCACAACTCGAGCTCCCCCTATGAGGTCGAAGCATGGGAAAATATTGGCAGGTGGTGGTAGAGCGTCAAGAAGGGTCCAAAAATCGAGGAGATTGTTATGCAGGTTGAGATGGAGGCAGAGGCAGACAAGGATGAGCCCCCTGCAGACGACCCCGATGACAATGTCGATCCGATGGCCGAGATGACTGAGGGCAAGCGCAAGGAATTTCAGTGGGAGGTCCATCCAGTTATGCTGGTCATGGCCAAGGTCAGTCCACTCCACAGGGTAGAAAAACATACCTGACACCATTTCAATCTTGAAAGCTCGCTTTCAAGATCATCCACTCCACGACAAAACTCCTCCCGGCATGGAAAGCGGTCCTCAGTACATTGAAGCTCCGGGAGAAGTTGCTTCCACGCGACGTGAAGATGCGTTGGAATTCAATGTACGACATGCTTGATGTGGCAGTTAGGTATCAGCAAGCAGTAGATATGTTGACTAACAACAAGAGCAATGGCCTACGAAGCTTCGAGCTCTTGCCAGAGGAATGGGAGATTGCGTCACAGCTCCACAAGGTGTTGAGGGTGCGTAAAACAAACTTGACAGCTTGGTAAACAACTACCAACTCACACCCACATTCAGCTCGGTGCTTGTGTAGGTTTTCAAGGATGCGACTACCTTCTTCTCATGGAGCTCTGCCCCTAATCTCGCCACAGTTATCCCGGCAATAGACCACATCGACTCGCACCTAACGATGGTCTCTCTGGACGCGAAGTACAAGAATCCCATTCACGTCGCATGCAGCCTCGCACAGAAGACCCTCAACAAGTACTATTCACTTACCAATGGCTCAATTGCATATCACATTGTGATGGGTTTGTAGTGTCCAAATTTATTAGATGTGCACATTGATGACCTATGATTATAGTGCTTCATCCACGCCACAAGCTGACATACTTCAAGAACCTCAAATGGAAGGACAGGTGGATCAAGAACGCGCACAACATCGTCCAGACGGAGTACAAGAAGAATTACAAGGGTGAGTTCGACAGCGACAAGGCCCACAACCACGGAGCCCCTTCGGACACTGAGGGTGACGCAGCCATCGAGAACGATGAGGAAGATGAAGGTGGGGAAGGCGATGGTGAGGAACATGGCGGGGTTCTGACCGAAGACGAAGACAACAACATCATCATCATCAACGACAACCGGGATGAGCCGTATTTCATTGACCCAGACCATGAGGTAAGTACAGTCACATATTCTCCTACGTGTGCACGTCCTCGACGTCAAGGGTGTGCGTCTTCAGTGTTCGCATGTGGGTCCTCGGTGTCCACATGTGCGCCCTTGACGTCCACACACGCGCCCTCAATGTCCACACGCGCGCCCTCGATGTCCACACACACACCCTCGACGCATGCACACGTGCCCTCAATGCGCACCCTCGATGTGTCGCGGGGTGTGTGGACACACCGCAAACCATGCAGTTTCAATGCTAAATTTATATCCAGTTTGAAGGGAATATATTTGACAACCACCTCCCAATGCCCGCGAGCTCAGTGATGAGCTTGCACGGTACCTCAGTATCGATGTTGAGGACATTGATGACCCTATACAGTGGTGGTGTGGAAGGGAGACGTGGCGGAAGGTCAAGACGCGTAACCGACGCGCGAACATGAGGACGACAACACCCGCGCAATAGGGTGCGCGATCACGTGCGCGCGTCAAGCTCGATGTGTCGTCCGCGAACGCTCGGGATCGACACTCGGAGCCGCGACGCCGCGCGTCACACTCGCCTTCACGGTTCCCTGTCGCCGATACCTCGATACCCCTCTCCCATCATCCTTCCGCTCTCCATCACAGTCTCGTTTCCTGTCTGGTTCTGACGCTTTTCTCGGTTCCCTGTCTCTCGATGTGTTCCGAGTATCTTTTCCGCACCATCTCGCTCTGCTCGATTCTACCACTACCATAGCTCCCACTCCCCGTGCTCGGACTCATGACTCTCGACTCTACTTACTAATAGGTGATATCGGTCTTCCCAGATCAGCAAAGCGACGAGGTCGAGAGGTTAGCCGGCCACGGAGAGACACGACGCGATCACCCGCTGCTGAACTGGGGCAGCGAGCGCACGTCAATTGGTGACGCGTCGGACAGTCCCCGTCCCCGAGCGAAGCTTCGCGATTGACTTGCGGCGCGGATGGAAGGGAGTCCGGTTCGGTTCCAGTCTCAAAACGGCCATTTTCCGTCTCGAATAGGTACTCTGGTTTGATGCTCGAACATGTATAAAACGGCGATGTCCCGCCTTCGAATGGACAAGTTTCCCCCCCCCTCTTATCCTCAGAACTCGCGCCAGTCTCGTCCGTTTCATCCGCAGCCGTCATCAGTCATCGCTTCGAGTCCCTCCGATATCCCGCTTACCGACTCTACCCGATTCGTTCTCAAGCGCCACTAAACGAGTACGTCTCGCTCGAAGGTATCCATTGTTGACGCTTCGCCTCCTCCGCGATCTAGCTACCTACAGAAACCCTCGGCCGAGGCGACCTCACAACAACCATCGGCATCTCACAAGTTCCCGCCCCAGCCACAACTCACTTTCCACCACCACAGTGGTCAGACCGCCAGAGTCCAGACACAGTTCCCGAACCTCTTGTGCATGGCTATCGATTTTTTGACGCTCCCAGGTCAGTTTGTTATATTTGTGTCTGCATATACACATGCTCATGGATGGAGTTTGCAGCCACAGTGGCCACAGTGGAGCATACATTCAGCCTTGGACGACTCCTACTCCCACACATGCGCAGCCGTATGTGCGGACAGACCTCTCGTGCCCTTCTATGCCTCAAGATCTGGAGTGAGGCCGGGTTTGTCAAGCAGACGGATGCAAATAAGGTTGCGCAGATGGAGGATTTGGATGATGATTAGTTGGACTTTGAGATGGAGGTGGGGTGGGATGAGCTCGATAACAGCAAGGACTAGTAGCTATACATGTATCTCTCTCATATTCCAAGCCTAGAATGGACATGATGGCAGGTCTTCATGCATGAGTCGGTTCTAAAGCCTGCGCGAGCCGGGTAAAGCCAATGGGCGATGGTGGCGACAATTATCTCCCCGACTCCGACCTCAGGCTTCAGCTCTTGCTTGCGGTCCTTTCATGGACGCGCTCTTCCTCAGACCTCCTCTGTGTCGCTTCACCAGCCCTCCCCGCAGAAATCATGCCTTGGCTGAGCTCGAACTCATGCGCTGCTGACGAACACATGCCTGCCCCAGAGTTGCCCGCACTGGGAGATTGTGCAGCAATGACCCCGCACGACACCCTCCTCTGGGAGCCGGTGATCCGTATCCGGCCTCGCACAGCTCGCAGCTCGCCTGTGAACGACAAGAACAACCTGGAGGAGCCCAATGAATTGGGTGATCTATCAGCAGAGAATACAGGGAATGAGGATGAAGGTGCACAGACCGCGAGCTCTCCCGCTGCCTCTCATTGGCTGCGCGATCTCCTGACAATGACACTGCTGCCTGCAGCAAATGAGGGCATTTCACACGCCCTATATACAAGCCTCTTTGATCTGCCGCAAGTGCCTGAAGGTGGCACTCAGGTGTTTTTTGAGCAAGGCGGTTGGAGTGTCTTCCTGGCGCCAGGGTCATCTACCAACACCTTCATCATCACTGTGGAAGGCAGACCTCACGGTCAGGAGGTTGCCAAGGTTCACCATGTAAGTGTATTCGCATGGACCCATCGCAAAACCCAGGAATGACTGACCATTTGCCGATCTTATAGATCACTTTGCCTTCGACGTTGGCAGCCACCCAGACAATGGATTTCCATGCCTGGAACTTGTACATGAAGGATATTCGCTGTGTATTTCAAGAGTTGCTCAGCGACTACCAGATGGACAGCATCGTGGACATGGCTTACATCTACATCTGGTTCTCGCAGAACCGTCCAGACGCTCAAGCCGCCAACTTTGACGGCATTGTGCTGCTCTGGAACGAGCTCCAAGAGCTGCAAACTTCGACAGCGGCGATGGGAGTGTATCTCGCCATGTGCAGTGAAGATCTGTTGATGAACTTTTCCTTCTGGGCGCGTTCTAAGATCCTGATAGGCTTTGGTGGGGTTCAGGGTCCTGCATGTTGCTGATAAAGTCATTCAGGACACTTTCCCTGTCCCCTTCCCCAAAGACGTCACTGCAGAGTGTGGCAAGGAAGCAGATTGTAGTCCAGATGTTGAGTAGGCCCTGGCAAGTGGTGGTAAGGTGGTGGGGCTGTCAGAACAGAGAGGGGGCGGCTCTTCAGACTTCCTTTATATCTTGAGTCAAATTTTTGTTATACCGCTAGTGTACTGCTCATATAGTAGCTACACATGCTATAGAGCTTAGTGGGTCCTTGCCCGATACACACCTGGTGACCTTGTGAGATCTCAGACAGGAATATACCCCATAACCTGTGGTCACCCCTCGACCCGTGGGTATCTGGGGTAACCTCAATCCGGCGCCTAATACCCCTAACCCCAGATACCCGTGGGTCGAGGGGTCAGGTTGGGGAAGGGTACGGATCCGGGTCGGGATTGTCCGATCTGAGGGTCAATCCGTGCCACACTGTAAGGCCCCGATGGCGATTCCGAGAGTGCAGACGAGGGATGAGAAGCACAGCGTGAGATGTGAGAGCAGAAAGAAGGAGTTGGTTCGGTGAGGGGCCCCGAATGGGCCCCGGGGTGCATAAGTACAGCGCGGGTATCTATGAGTGTTGGGCGCAGTCGGTGCACAATGGCGAGGTACATGATGGTGACGTAGGGTGCGAGCAGTCGGGAGCAAGTTGGTGGGCATTGGGAGTTCATTAGAACAGAGAGCGAAAAAGGAAACAGGCAAAGGTGCACAATAAGACGTAATCTAAAAGAGTCCATGGCAGGTAATGCTAAGTGGCTTTAACACACACCCTATGAAGTGCCGGTGCCAAAGCCGAGTCGCAATCAGTGGCAAGGCGCTTGGCGCAATAGGAGTTCATGTGGCACAACAGTCAAAAATTGGAGATAATGAAATGAAGCGGTCACTTTGATAAGCAGAAGTAGAAGAAAACAGAAGTATGTAATCTCTACAGTGGTATATGAAGCGTGAATACAACATGCTATAGCGAGTGTAGTAGTGAAAAGAGTGAGAACACACCTCAGTCTCGTGCACACAAATAGTGGCAAGAGCTGAGGTACTTGAAAAGAAAAATATTGAGATGAGCCCACGCAATGCGGACGTAAGCTAAGTGCCAGGTGTTCAGTAAACGAATGAACTAATCAAGTAAGTAAACATCTAATGACCGTAAGTAAGGGTAGACAGGCCCAGTGTATCGTATTCCAACACCTGGTGTATCAGTTGTACATCCGGGCATTTGAACAGTCTGTGTCGCGGCACATGGCACACCTACCAGCAAATTACGGGTTGTAGCTGCCTCGCTTACATAATCGTACCACGTTCGTCGCACGTCCCCAACGCGCTCCTTGTCTTCGCACATCAGCAAAGTCGCCAAGGAGTACACAGTGCCCTGTAGGGTGTCGTAGATGAGAGTAGGGCCCCAGAGCATTCATGAATCATAGCTCCAGACCCAGTACCGCGGTAACACCACCAGGGCGGCAGGCATGGGCCGGGTCCTATAGGATAGTGGCCCCGAGGTCTACAGAGGTCTACAGCCCACTGGGCGCAATCCTACAGAGCCGTACGAGCAACTACAGAAGCTCGCGCGGCACCCTAGTGTTGTATGTAGGTAGATGTCATCCCAGGGTTAGTCCATGCTGCAAGCATTCACTTTTGGTATTCATAGATGGATAAAAATGCGAATTTATTGACTGAGAGGTTGCAAATACAAAGGCATACATACAAAACACGGAAATGGGACAATCTGCACACCGCGAGATGAGACACGGGCAGCGTGGCATGGCGTATCGTGCGAGGCGGACGCGATGTCGGGCGTGTTGGGGGCTGGCCGTAACGCGAGCAAAAAAAGCTGCCGCGCGAGTGTCCTGTGCAGCACTACTAGACGGGTGAGGAAGGAGGCATGGAGGCAGAGCGTAGGTATAAGGCAAGCATTGTGTTTAGCGGTAAGGACCGAAATGGAGTCTGAATCGATTCGCGCGCCCAAAGGCATACGAGCACCATGCTGTGGGCGAGGAGGCATGAGAGACGGCACATAGAGCGTGGCACACGAGTGTGGTTTGTGTGAGGTGTTGTATCGGATGTGGCGTGACAGGAAGCACAACTCAGCGTGAGGGGTGTGGTGCAAAGCAAAGCAAAACAAGGCAAAGCAAGGCGCGGTAAAGCGAGGCGAGGCAAAACGGGGCGAGGAAAGAGGCGGCGAGGTGTCAGAAGCGTAGTTCAAGGATTGCAAGCATGACAAAGCAGAAGGCAGCATGCACGAGGGATACGCGAGACAACAAGAGCTGGAAGGCCAGATGGTTCGGGGTCAGTGATGAACATGCGAGCGTGCGGGCTCACCGGATCCGGATGGACTGGCTATCACGGTGTGTACTCGAGAGACGAGATACAGTGTGAATTAGCATATGGGACTGGGACGCGCGCAGCGAGACGAGAGAAGATGGGTTCATGCGGCAACTCAACTGGATAATAATCTTGCGAGGTAGACAGCATCGACTCCAGCTTCGCAGTGTCAATCACAAAGGTACTGGGCAAGTTGTTGCTGTATGGACGAGTTTTCGCGCAAGATGTCATGTTGAAACGAAGCGGGAGAAATGGCTTACCTGGTAACCGCATATAGCCAAGGTTTTCTTTTAAGGTTATGGAGCGCGAGAGCGAGCGGGTAGGCGAGCTGAGCGCGACGTCTGTCAGATCTCACACGAGAGAATGGATAACTGTGTGATTTATTCTGCTAACCTGAGCGCGATGTCTGTCAGATCTGAGCGCACAGGTGTGAGTACAATAGCTACGAGGAAGAAGGAAAGAAAGAGCTCACCTCACACAAGAGAATGGATAACTGTGTGATGTGAGAATGGCCGCGTGCATGCGCAGTACGAGCCAGAAATTTGCGAACAAACAGATACAAATAAGCGCAAACGAGGCCTCAGTCCTCGTCGTAGCAGGTGGGCCAACACCCGAGTCACAACGTGGGAGGAGGAGGAGAAAACAGACATAGCGGGAGTCTGCACAACGGGTTCCCTAAACAGGAAGCCGCGCCGTGCTCATCGAGTGCCCCCGGCACCTGCGAGCGCTTTGCCCTCACGGCGCGCCGTCCGACCCATGTCGCGACGCCGCGCCTCGCGGTGCGTCCGGCCTTGCCGCGACACCCCGCAAACCTCAACACGCCCCCTCAAAGCATGAGCAGTCCGAACAAGATGCGGAGGTGGTCCAGCCTCCTGCGTGTGAGTGGCTTCATGAAAATGTCGGCGGGCATGTCCTCGGTCCGCCGATAGCCTAGGTCGACCTCCCCGCGTTCCACCGCTTCGCGGATGAAGTGGTACCGTATAGCGATGTGCTTGGTGCGCGAATGAAACACATTGTTCCGTGCGAGGTCCATCGCACTCTTGTTGTCACTGTAGAGCCATACAGCATGCGTGGTGAAGCTGGGGTCGATGAGGTCGCCTAGAAGCCGATATACTCGGCCTCCATGGATGAGAGTGCCACAACATTCTGCTTCTTTGCTGACCAGGAGACCGCTCCGCCATCGAAGGTGTACACATACCCACACACAGAGTGGCGTGTGTCATCGCTCGAACCCCAGTCGGCATCGGTGTATCCCACGAGACCGCTCGCATCGCCGCTGTACGTGAGCCAGAATTCCTGAGTCCCGATGAGGTAGCGAACGAGGCGCTTGAGGGCCTCCCAGTGCGGACACCCAGGGTTAGACATATACTGAGCGAGGTGATGGACAGCATAGGCGATGTTGGGCCATGTGGTTACCGCAATGTACATGCACATACCGACACCCTCGCGGTACGGGATCCCGGACATCTCCGCAATTGCAGACGACATTGTGGGACACTGTGTTTTTTCAAGGACTCCGCCTACAGCGATTGGCGTGCTTGCAGGTTTCGCCCCCTCAAGGTGCATAGCCTGCATCAGTGTGTCCATAGCGGAGCGCTGTGCAAGTCGAACCGTCCCAGCGTCAAGGTCACAGATGACTTCAATGCCCAGCAAGCAAGCGACGTCCCTGGCATTGGTGACCGTGAACTCTGCCTTGATTCCAGCGCGGAATTTCTCGACGAGGTCGGGTGTTCCAGTCACGAGCATGTCGTCAACTATAGTCCCCAGCATGGTGAGCGAGTCTCCGTCGTGCTGCCAGAAACACGCGTGGTCTGCTTTGCTGCATGTCATCCCGAGTGTTGTCATCGCGTCTCGGTACTTCTTGTACCATGCTCGCCCCGCCTGTTTCAGTCCATACAAGGACTTCTGCAGGCGGCAGACCAGGTGCTTCTCTCCCTGCGCAGCCATCCCTGGTGGCTGGCGCATGTATATCTCTTCGTCGAGATCGCCGTTCAGGTACGCGCTCTTGACATCCAATTGGATCAGCGGCCAGCTGAAGCGGGCCACAAGCGCGAGCATGATACAGAGCGAGCTCAACTTAGTGACTGGGGCAAAGGTTTCATTGTAGTTGACACCAGGGATCTGCCTAAATCCCTGTGCTACAATGCGAACCTTGCACTGCTTAATGGAACCGTCGGCATCTCGCATGTGGTGGAAGAAGAGCCTGCTTCCGATGACGTGCGCACCCGCGGGACGCACGACAAGGTTGTATGTACTGTGTGCACGCAAGTTGTCCATCTCAACGGTGATTGCCTCTTCCCACTTAGGCCAATCAGGTGCATCCTGCGCCTCCCACAGTGACATTGGGTCCCCACTGAGTGGGTCCCCTCCTGCCTGGGCGACAAGCCCATAGGCTGCTGCCCCCCAATCGTGAGACATATCTGGGGTGAAGCACTCACTTGTCTGATCATTGGTCACCCCAACAGGCGTCTCCAGGGCTGCGAGCACGCCCATGATCTCTCCAGCGATCAGGCCTCGGCGGGCAGCGTTGCAGGGTGGTCTTCCGTTCGCTGAGCCTTCACCATCTTGAATGCGACGAGCAAGGTGCGAAGGCTTCTTGATGCGGTGCCCTCGACCCATAGACTGCTCAGCCGCCGGTGCTTCTTCGACTATATCGCCTTCGCCTGCTCGGACGTCTTCGTCGGCTCATGCTTCTTCGCCCTCGCCCTCTAGCCCATCGCTCTGCTCAGTGCCCGTGCCTTTTTTGTCCCCTGTCCCCTCGCTTTGTGGAGTGTTGTCTTGCTGAGCTGGAGCATCAGCGGTGTCGCGAGCATCACTGTCGGAGTCGGTGAACTCATCCTCTGACTCGATCTGCTCGATCCTTGCCCCCTCGCTTGGGACATCCGCATCGCAACGGTCAGATGCGGCCCAGACAAAGCTCCTGACCACGGTGATGTTGTGCTTCTCCGGCCAGTACACGTGTATACCATCCTGATGGTTCTCGCTGAATCCAACAAAGAAGCCAGGTATGCCTCTTGGTTCCAGTTTGCAAGTCTTCTCCGGGCGAACCCAGACACGTGCGCCCCACGGTCGGAGGTGTTGGAGGTCAGGAACTGTTCCAAAGCACACTTTGTACGGAGTCTTGCTGCTGAGTGCTGTGTGGCCCGTGCAGTTGTGCGTGTAGATTGAATACTTGTATGCGTGTGCCCAGAGTGTTCTCGGGAGCCCAGAGTCCAGGAGCATGGCACTCACTCGTTCACGGTGGACACAATGTGCGGCTTCAGCGATGCCGTTCTGTTCCGGCGTGCATGGGACCGACGCGCTCCAGTGTGTCCCGCGTGACTCGACATATGGCTTGAGTGTGATGTACTCGTTCCCGTTGTCTCTGTGCAACCAGCAGACCTGCGTGCCCGTCTGTGTAAGGATGGCGGCCTCGAGGTTTTTGTAGGCAGCAGTGGTCTCAGTGATGGACTTGATGGGGTAGCCATGGTGCATGCGTGTGTGTTCGTCGACAAAGAGCGCGGACTTGGTGTTGCCGCCCAGTGAGGTCGTGTCTGCATCCCAGGTATCGGAGTGGAGCTTCTCCCCATACTTCGTGATCTCCATGTCGTGTACGGCCGGATGCGCCTCACCGGGGATCGCCTTGCGCGTGATTTTTGACCGCATGCACACCTCGCAGGTGTCGTTGTTGTCGCCCTTGAGCAACCCGATGCCCGTGGCCCAGCCCGCCTCGATGAGCTCCTTTGCGGCCTTGAGCGAGACATGGGCAAGGCAGCGGTGCAGCTCGAAGGGTGTCACCCTCAAGACCCTCTTTCCGCCAGGGCACGAGCTTGCGCTCAGGGCGGCCTCAGAGGCCGATGCGGAGACGTCTGTGTCGACATAGTGGCTCACGACCTGATATAGGCCGGCAGTGAGAGGGATGCGGGCGATGTCGAGGTTGCTAGCATGCTCAACGAGCCTGCATTTGCCTTGCTCGAAGACAGTGGTGTATCCGCCCTCGTCGGCCTTTCAGATCGAGACAAGTGCGAATGCGACGGCGGGCGAGTAGAGCACGTTGCAAAGCGTGAGCGTGCGCGATGTCGGACCGTTCAGGACACAGATCTCCACATCGCCCATCCCAACAGCGAGAAACTCGTCTCCATTGGCAGCTATGATCGCTCGGGGAGGCGTGAGCTCATGGTACGTGGTGAACCTCTCGCGGTATGGTGAGATGTGCACGCTTGCACCGCTGTCGAAGATGTCGACGTAGAGGCCTGGGGCAGCAGCAAGTGCGCTGGTGACTGCGTTACCAAGGGCGACGAACCCATCGTGCTTCTCTGCAGCTGCGTTTGCATTTGCATTTGCACCTTCCCCGTCCTTTGCGCCTCCGCCTCCTTGCCCCTTCCCCAGTAGCCACGGCTGTCCCTCACGTCCGCCACCCTTCCGACGGCAGTTGCGTGCAATATGGCCCTTCCCGTGGCAGTTGTAACACTCCACAGGTTGGCGCGAGTAGAGAGCACTCGCTGGTGCACTCGGTATGCTTGAGGTGGCGGTGAGGGCAATGTCATTCGCTTTGATGATCGCCCTCCGATCGAATTCTTTGTTGAGCTTGTTGATAAGGAACTCGACGGGGATGACCTGCCCAGAGAAGCTCGAGATGTCCAAGATGGTTTGGACGCGCCCGTGGTAAGACTCCAGCAAGCTGTTCATCACAATTGCTGCGAACTCGATCTCCGCCAAACGAGTCCCGACGGCTGCCAGATTCTGTCGCTCCCGCAGAAGTAGCGCCAAATGCGCCCGTATGTCCCCTCCCTCGGGGCACCGCGTGTTCTGAATACGCGTTCTGATAGTGTTGGCGTACATCAGTGATTTGTTCTCGCAGGACGCAACAACGGCCTCCCAGAGAGCCTTCGTGGTTGGCTGCGACTGGACCTCAATGAACAGGTTGTCGCTCAGAGTCTCGTAGATGAGCGCGCGGGCTCCAGCCTCCTTCGTCTCCCACAGAGTGTATTTCAACTCCATCTTGTCGACTAGCTCTGTGTATTGCTCGTCCGGGAGGTGCGAGTATGCGTCCGTTTCGGTATCTGTCTCCGCTTCACCGCCGCCGTGTGCACAATGCGGCTCCAGAGTGGCCTCGACACCCGCGGGTGTAGTCTCTCCAACTGCGGTGCCGGCCGCATTCGGAGTCGGGGTAGGGGGGCGATGACGATGGTGATGTGGGGGAGATCTCGATTGATAGGAGGAGGAAGGAGGGGCTTACGACTGGTCCCGCAAATGTGCGGCATATGACCCTTGGCCGTCTGTACGACCTTCATCCGTTCTCGGTACGTGACCCAGTTGGATCCATCGGACGCGAGCTTCGGAACACTATACTTGGACGAATTGATGGATGTTTCGTACAACATCTCGGCTTCTGATCTTTGGTGTCTACTGCGTGGAAGCAGGGCTCATAACCTTTTAAGGTTATGGAGCACAAGAGCGAGCGGGTAGGCAAGCTGAGCGCGACGTCTGTCAGATCTCACACGAGAGAATGGATAACTGTGTGATTTATTCTGCTAACCTGAGCGCGATGTCTGTCAGATCTGAGCGCACAGGTGTGAGTACAATAGCTACGAGGAAGAAGGAAAGAAAGAGCTCACCTCACACAAGAGAATGGATAACTGTGTGATGTGAGAATGGCCGCGCGCATGCGCGGTACGAGCCAGAAATTTGCGAACAAACAGATACAAATAAGCGCAAACGAGGCCCCAGTCCTCGTCGTAGCAGGTGGGCCAACACCCGAGTCACAACGTGGGAGGAGGAGGAGAAAACAGACATAGCGGGAGTCTGCACAACGGGTTCCCTAAACAGGAAGCCGCGCCGTGCTCGTCGAGTGCCCCCGGCACCTGCGAGCGCTTTGCCCTCACGGCGCGCCGTCCGACCCATGTCGCGACGCCGCGCCTCGCGGTGCGTCCGGCCTTGCCGCGACACCCCGCAAACCTCAACATTTTCTATGAGGCGCCTTGATGAGGGCCGATGGTGGAGATTCCGAGGTCGGTCTGAGGACTGCCAGGATAGACAAAAGTGCAAGTAAGCCATGTGCAAGAGAGTACTTATACGGAATTGCGTAGGTGCACAGAGAGCTGTTATAACACAAGCGACAGAGGGAACGAGACGAGAAGGGCAAGGGACTCTAGAGGACACGGTTCGTGACTTATGTATGCCCCGGAAAGGAAGACGACGCGGGAGTTGAATCACTGACAGCCAATGTCTTAAAAAGGTCCCCATGCTGTCGCTGCTGACTTCCATTCTTGCGATGTGATATCCGATGGGGTGGAGTACTGCCATGCGCGCAGACCTTTGGAATCCTCGAGAGTGGCGTCCGGACTAGCGCATCGGCCGCGGTCGGCGCGGTGAGTGCTTGCAGCTGTGAACAATATTGCTTTGCTCGAAGTATCCTGCAGGCTGCAGGTGCATCAGATCACAAAAACGCCGCCGGGCGACTTACCCTGTCTGGCCCTACATACATGTATAGCTTCTGACCATGATATATATTGCCCTATAGGATGTCCGTCGCATACTACTGAAGCCTACAGACCCTCTCGCACCCGACGGTATCCTACAGCGCGTCCATCGCGCTTGATGGGCGCCTCATAGGGCGCTGTAGGCCTGGTCGGGCCCTGTCGGGCGCTACAAAATCTTGCTCACTTTGCTGATGCCAACGCCAGTAACACGCAGCCTTCTCGCTTCCTCCCGCGTCTTGACCCTCCGAGCGACCGCAGCGCGCCTCGTTCCGCCCGTCTCACGCCGCCGCGCATTACACGCAGCCCGAAGTTTAGCAGCTCCTGGTCGGGAGAGCGGCTCGTTCTGCACCGCGTCCGTGCCCGGCGCTTCTCCGAGCCCCAGCCCAACCCTCGGAGTCAGAGGAGACGTTCGCGCGCACACCAGCCCCAGATGAGGCTGGACATCTCCTCCAAGACCCCCTACTAGGTAGCGGGAATGTAAGTGAGTCAGTAATAAGTAAGTAACGAGTGCAAGTGGTATAATAAGCCATAAGTACAACAGAGCGGTGTCTTCGGAGAGGGAGGAAACCAAACTGGAAATGCAAGGATGTGCCTCGCGCTCTACAAGTACGAACGCGGCTTTTGCTCCGGGAGTCTGGGCGGGCGCGGATGCCAGGGCACGTCACCATCATAGGCGCCGCGCCGCGCGATGACCAAATACGTGCATACCAAGGCGCACCGTACTCGCGATACTCTACGACGACACTGGCAGAACTGCAACTAAACACACCAAGGGCCTCGCTGAGCCCCCGCGTGTCGACGTCGTGAACTCGATGGAGTCCACCGACTTTTCAGCGGCGCGGGCTACCCGTCGCCGTTCATGCCGCGATGGCCTCAGCAGCCTGATGCTCGACGGCGCCGCAGGGGGTTGCGCCGACGATTGCTCCTGGGACTACGTGAGGTACATGTGCTGCTCGTGCGTCTGCGACTTGGGATTGATCGTGGACTTCGGAGGCGCGTGTCCGCGCACTCCCCTTCGGCGGTAATCTGGATCTGCTCCATGTTGTCGACGAGGTAGTGCGCCGCAGTTCTCGATCTTCGAGCACTCGTGCGAGGTGCAGACGGCAATGATCGTCGCGCCCGAGGCGACGCATGCCTTGATGTCCGGAGGCGAATCCTCGAAGACGACGCAACGCGTCACCTCCGACCCAAGCTCCTTTGCAGATCGAGGGCCGCCTTCGTGGCCTTCAGGCGCTTGTCGTCGGCGGCGATGATCACCTCCGGAGGGGTTATACCGACGCGAGTCATGTAGGCGTATGAAAAAAGGCGGTCAGAGTCGTGTTCGAATGTCTGAGATGGTTGGCAGGTCATCATAGGTCTTAGCACCAGAAATGGCGACGGCGTAGCGGCCATTGGGAATGGAGTCCATGAATCGCTTGACCCTAGGGAGGGTGTGGACCAAGCGGTCGATGACGATGGCCTCGAACCGTCGCGCCTCGAGCTGGTGCTTTTTCTGGAGGATCATCTTTTCGGCGTCCTCACTCTCCTCGGATATGGAGTCCTCGAGGACCTCCTTGTTCTCGTGAATGGTGGGCGACATGCTGTGGTGGAGGAACGCGGGGCTGCGGAAGGGAGCGAGCTGCGAGATGGTGCTGACGAAGGACCAGGCGCGCGAGAATGCGCGGGACGTAGCGTTCGAGCTCGAGGGCGGGGGTGGTCGCGCTGGAATTCATGGACGAGTTCCGGACGGAGCCAGGGCCGTGCTTGTTGTACGCGTCGGCGCGGGGGGAGGGGGGATAGGCTAGACCTCATTGTCCATCTCGTGATGTTCGAGATGAGGCTTGAACTGGGCGAGGGTGTCGACTGCGCGCTTTCCGTGGGTGGAAGCGACGCATCACGTAGGTGGGGTCCTGGCCAATGTCTTTTGCGAACTTGCCCCAGGCAGCCTCGACAGCGGAGATTGAGTCGGCGTGCGTACCGTCCTATCGACACACTCCCATGGTTAGCATGCTCCGAAGGCTCGAGTGAAGAAATGTACACACCGTGTCGAAGAGGACGGCGTCAGCATGCAAGGTGGTTTCGGTGTCGGCGGACAAGGTGACGAGAGACGAGTGGTATCAGGTAGGAGTCGATGTGGTAGCCGGTGTAGGTTCCGAAGAGACCTCAGGGGTGTGTTCGGTATGTGTAGCGGAGAGAGAATGAGGGAGGTTGGAGAGCAGAGAGGCAGGCCTTATATACGTTTCGCAGGACGTTACGATGCCTCGCTGCATGCAACAGCGACCCGCTACCCTGAACAAATTGTTGCGAGAGAATGAGAAAAGGCACCATGATCCGTGACCCCCGCACATCACCGACCACGGAGGGTGATAACGCCCGAGGCGTGCAAAGTGACATGCGACAACGGGTGCAACAAGTCCGTCCTTATATACCTCTATCAACATAGTATACGAGATCCTTAATGTAGTTCAGCAACTCAGGGAAAGCTTTGAAGACCATACGAACGAGCGCCCAAGCCGATCGTCTAATGTAGGATTTTGGCCTATCATCAGAGTCGATACCGTCCTGTGTAGCCTTTCAGGTGTCGTGAATGCATTTTGTTTTGGTGTTATCTACTCACTGAGATCGTAGCAGGATGAAGCGTCGGGAATAGCATATCACCTGGAGACGACATGAGACACTTCAAACAGGCTTATATGAGTTGACGATACATACGGAAGTCCCAAATGAGCAAGGCGACGACGGCAGCGAAGACGGCCCAAGCAATATACCTTCTGGACATTACGGACGCTCCAGACAGCCTGGGTACACCTACTAGTACAAAATGATGAGGGCGAGATGCTCTGATATGGCGCTCTTGACATACCTGAGCTCTCTGGCTTCTGAGCAGGGGTAAACGAAGAGCAATCTGCGTCTTGAGCATCCAGACCGCGATCTTGTTGCTGAGCGTAGCCGTGACGATTGGTAAAGGGCGTTGTATCGAACAAATGCCTGCTTTCCGAATGACTGTCAAGAGACTGATCAGAAGGGTTGTCCATCTGAACGGCGGGCGAAGGAATCATGTTCTGTTTCCCAGGTTCGTCGACCGATTGAGTTTCTGCGAAGACGGCGGCTCCAGTGACGTGATCTTCCTCTGTGAAAGTCCGTCAACAGTCCAGGGAGCTCGAAATAAATCGAGCCTACCGTCACAATGCGAGACTACACCGCCATCGATGTCTGCTACATCATATATAAGAGCGTCCGAACGAGATAATAACGGCACCTATCACCTTTCTTAGCGAGCCAGATTCTGATCACGTTCTCTCTCCCAGGTTCGGAAGATCCGGTAGCTACGATATGGCGTGCTCCAATCTTGATATATGCCTAGAACAGGATGAGGAACGAACACACGCGAGACCGACCACGTACAATCGCTTGTATGATTTCTCCATCTGGATATTAGCGGGTATCAGCTTATGGGGTCGTATCACGGAATGCATAAGGGTGGTGCTTACCGGTATGCGTCAGAGACTGAATGAGAGAGCCATCGTCTTTATCCACAATAGTCGCTGTGCCGCACGCGCTTCCAAACAGCAAAGCATCACCGTCGTGGATAAAGGCTACAGGAAGAGCGATGTTGATGTGGTGCTTGACAGAGTAGCTTTGCACCTTCTTCGCACGGTCGATCCTGTAGCGGTCGAATCCGTCGAGGAGATTGCAAACAACAATCGACTTCTGGTCTGGCGATATGGCAGCACGACCACTGATGTAACACATCAGTCGTTTAATGATCTCGGAAGCACCTCGAGTTTACTCACATGCGAGTTTCTGGACTGAAATGCCACAGGACCTCCAAGGTCGAGATGCGCCAGCAACTGAACAAAATGAGTCTAGTTCCCCGTATCACAGACTGTGTAGCTTACACGATGCCGTGATAGACGAAGGTCACAATAAGGGCCCTGTCGTCGTCTACAAAATGGGCGGAACACGGGGATACTTCCCGGGCAGTCGGATTGAGCTTTTCCTCCAGGTCTGCAGGAAGTCGTATTATTTTATCGATGTCGTACTTCGCTAGATTATACATCAGTCAGACTTCACGTGTCTAACCGATTCAAGCCTACCGTTCGGCTTGTCCTTTATGAGTGCAATGTCTGCACCCCCGATAGCTACCAGGGTTGTTCCGTGTGTGTCGTACTCAAAACATTCCACTGGTCCGTGCATCTGCGAAAGGTATCTTCCGCTTGGGAAAGGCTAGATATCATGATCTCAGAACTGAGTATCCCGCAGAAGTAGAACGAGACATACCTGATCGTCGCTACTCACACGACATTCCATAATCTCGCCGCTTACGTAGCCCACAAAAAGAGTGTCCCAGTGGTACGGGTTCCATGCTACAGCGGTTACCGGTGCCGCCGCCATGATGGTGTCTTCCGAGAAGCCTTCAGATTGGATGTCCACTATGACGAGACGCCCATCGTCTCCCCCTGCTGCGAGCCACTTCCCGTCTGGACTAAACTGCATGCAATTTATCGAATCTTTGAAACCAGACTGTATCACCCCGACGTCCTCGTACTGTTCCTCAGAGAACATAGCGGATGGTGTTGAAGCTTCGGAGACGAGAGGATGATGACCCAGTAGATGGAGGGGTGAATTGGACGCGCTGTGTCAGCAGCTTAGTTGCGGTCAACGCTGAGAGGGAGTATTTGGGGAGACGGAAATGCGTGCACACGGGGAGTCTTGACAACCTCAAAGGTCAAAGGACTTTGTTTAATCGCGACCCGCGCCTATTTCGCTAGCGCCCAATGACCTCATGTGATTGAGTGAGTGTGTACGGAGGCAACGCCAGCCGTTCACTCCCCTTTGCCAACTTCCGAGTACTGTATCGGCTTTGGACATCCACGCGCCCTCTTCAACCATGGGCGACTATGTTCAAGACCGATGTAAGCGTTTTTCTTCGATGAACAACCGCACTTGCATCGTTCTTCGACTTCCTGCCAGCATTCCATTGCTGCTCATGTACGTCTTTCAGCATGTATTGACACCTCAGCAGCCCTTCTTTATTCTCTGAAAGGCTGGGATTGGCAAATTGCGTCTGACCTCAGTAGGACGACCCCCGCTGGACATCTGTAGCAGCTCTGCTGGTGCTGTTGCGTATCTGCTTTGTATACTCAATGCCGCCCAATGCGCGTCGAGCTCGAGCCTCAGGTACGACAGTGGCGTCGGGATGACTCGTCCATTTGCTAATTGTCACGCCGATAGCGAAAACTCGACAGGCTTAGCATTGCTTCATTGTGACAGATAAGGAACTTTGTATGTCCGGCTAGTCCTCATCGACTATGACATCCTGCCACTTTTAAGGCCTCTCTTCATCGATTGTTGAGCCCCACCCCGGCCTGCTCATGATCATGTCAGACATACGTTGGCGAGATCACCTCGATGCGATGTACCAACACTTTGCGCGTGCTCAGCTTCTTGGGACACGCTTGAAATATCAGTGGACATCCGGGACACGTTCGTGAGTGGCCGAGGCATTCGTGGTGGACATACGCGGCAGACTGAAGCATTTCAGCAGCTTCTTTCCTCACCGAACGGATATCTTGAGCCCTGAAGCGTCATTCGAGGAGTTCTTGCGTTCACTGGAAATCAGCAATGCTCGATACCACCGAGACACATTATCAGTGCTACAATCCCGTACCCGCCGCGCTCGTCAGGATTCCTCTATAGCAGAGCTTGAAAAATACTTCGTCTCTGTTCCACGTTCTATCAATGCAGCCCACAGTGCATGCCGACAGGTGAGCAGCTTTCCCCACGCACTTACTGTTCACCACTTGACAGGGATATTACCATGATACATAGCTTTCGCTGTTGTTACGAGAGAAGATAGTGCCTGTACAGCTTCAAAATGACATTGCGCGTCGTATTGAAAGTTGTCGGGAAGCATGTGCTGTTGCACGAACTCGAGAGCGAGAGTTACATATAAAATTCGCAGACCTGCTTCCCCTCGTTGGGGTAGTGTCGTTGCCAGAGGTGCGTCACTTCCCATCATCTTAACGGCCTGAGGACAATCCTTATCATAGAAAGACTTTGAGCGCACCATGGAGCTCCTCTCTCGGCCGCTTGATATTCGGGCTCGAGCAAGCCACCTCAAAGTTCTTGAGTCTCGCATGCTGCGCATTACTGAAAGGCGTGAAGCGGCGCTCGCAGAGGCCCGGGCCCTGTTTTCACTCGCCTCGAAACGGCCATCTGAAGGACAGGTTGACGACGCGATGCATAATACAGAGCTAACTCGAATGAAGCTCTCATGCCGTGTCTTGGCCTTGCAAAAACAACTGCAGACCAGGCTTTTGGATTCTATGAGAGTATGTTCGATCTTCTACCCTTCTTTAAAGATGAGCTCAACGCAGGTGTGAGATAGTACGAATTCGAGCTAGCGAACACCGAGCCAAGCACTACAACGTTGCCGAATGGGCGCCCGCTTATTCTGTCTGATCTCGACGCTGCCCTCGAAACTTGCGACGCTCTTCGTTCGCAAATGAGTGCGTTAATCAAGGTGTGTCTAGATGGCCTCATACCCTTGTGTCACTGACGCATCGGGGACACAGATGATCCATGACATAACGACGGACATATCAAGCATCCGTACTTTGCTAGCCCTTAGCCATTCGAAATAAATGTTGTCGAGCTTATGCGACGCCTCGTTCTTCAAATCCGTGCGATACATGTGCATGCTGTGCCCGTGCTCGCGTCGGACACACGCCGAACTCCCGTTGCCGTCCACCCGAATGCGACCACTCAGAGTGTGAACGGATTTTCGAGTACACCTTTCCCTTCTGTTCCACTGCCGAAGAGAAAGGATACTGCCTGTACCTGCGGCCATCGCATGCCGGTGGAGATTAGAATACTTAGTATCGTCTTTCCATTCTTTGCCACTCATCATCTCGCAAGTCACTTGATGGCAGGCGAATCAAAGAATTTAGTATCGGAGAGACGCGCCTATGACATCCCCGCTTCGTCCAGCGGTCAATCTGAAAGACTTTGGTGTTCAACTAAGTACTAGGAAACTGGAGGTGCGTGATCTGAAAGCGCTTTTACTCGCGCATTCCTGTTTTAGATTTGTTTGTCCCTGGTTTTTCTCCGTTTTGAAAGTCCATTGTTCATCATACGAAGCTTAAAAGCTTACATAGCGTCGCAGTCGTACTGGACACTCGAGCCTAGTTTTACACGTCCACCCTCAACCTATGTTTTCCACCGAGCTCGCTCGACTTCAGCGTATGAAGGACAAGATTGTCCAGACAGAGATCTTGGCCGACCACGGCATATTCGAGTGAGCCACCCCGAGTAGTCATCAGGACTTACCGCCATTTAAGGTTCTGATCTACGTGTCGTCTTCAGCTACTTCGAAGATCACGGTATAACCCGTGAAGTTACTTGGCGCCAGGACTTCTTGAAGCTCTTGAAGCAGAGTAACGAAGAGTACTGCCGAGAAGCTCTTGAGGAATTGTGACAGGTCGCATCTGCGACACGCGAGCACGAGCTGAGACCCAAAGGGTCGCTCAAGCAAACCCTTCGCCACGCTGCTCAGACACGAAAAGCACTAGCGAATAAGTGGTCGTCCACGGTGCGTACTATCAAATTGAGCCAAGCTCACTCGACTAAGTTCTAAGGACACATATATAGCCGAAGAGCAAAGTCAGTGGGGAGACTCGCCAGGAGTTTGATCGTCTACTCGAAGATCTGAGGCTCCTTGAACGTGACCTCTTCAAGATATATGGGGGCATACGTTGTACCATCGCGTTGATGACCAACAAGCACATCTTCGAAGTGCTCCTGCGCCCGCTCAAACAGGCTGCGCCGTCGCGGGTACATCGACGCACGCTCCATCCTCTCATGAAACAAGTCCGCGCCCTCCGGGATAGGCGTGGACGGTTGGTAGCAAGGGCGAACGACATTGTCTTGAGAGCAGAAGAGCAACCTACCGAGGATATGGACGCCCACATGAAGGAGATGTATCGCCTTCAGAAGCAATCGATGAGGCAGGGGTTTAAGCAGTGCGAACTTCTTGCGGACCTCGAGGTATGTCGTTTATAACGACTACACTGGGCATGGCATTGAAACAAAGTGTTAGGGTCTGCTCATCGTTGCCGAATCCCAGCCACGCCTTTTGCGGTGCAAGCGAGTCAAGAGAGTCCTATCAACTGACGAGATACTCACGTGTAAGGATTCTGGACGGACTTAGGGTTAGGGTTCATGGACTTAGGCCTCAGATGCTAGCTACATGGTCTTTAGCTTTCCACCACATCACTTGTTGCTACTTCTGTGTTATCTCTGGCTATAGATCAGGATCTAACGCAGCTGCGACCGGTGTGAAGAAGGCTCAACCCCCCGTATTCTTACACTTTTTTGCGTTACCTGGATCTCCCTCCCCAGGGAGACACTGTAGCCTGGGGCAACACTGCTGTGGCCCCTGCGCCCTCACCACTCATCCTCTCCTGGCGATCCATACCTCGTTCGATTCGTCTCATCGAGCCCTACCCAACGGTAGCTCATTCGCTCGATTTGGTGGAGAACTGGTGGAGTGGTGGAGGGTTTCCCCTTGGGTGGGGTAGGAGATGCTGGTGATGTGGCGGCGATATCCCGGCGAGTTCTTCGACGTTTTTCCTCGTCTCTGGTGCGTTGGAAAGCCCTTGTCCATCGCTTTCCAACGATCCCACTCGCGTCAAGATCCGCCCAGCCGTTGTGCTGCTATCGCCCCCATCGCCCCCTGGTCGCGTCGAGCGCTTCTCCCGGCCATATCTCCACGAGTTCACGATAGTCTTGTGCGCGTGAGGGCTCCGTCGATTCTCCTAGTCAAGGGCTTTCCAACAAGCCCCCATACGCCTGAATCTGCCCACTCGTTGGTCGTCAACCGGGTGTTCCTCGACCCCCTCCTCCTCATCATCCCCATCCATCTCCATCCCCCATATCTCCTCGACCCCTGGACGGTTTCAGGCCGTTCTGGGCTCGTTCCGATCGCATCGACGAGCTCTATGAGCCTATCCCATCGCCTTGGGACGACATCCAGGTGTGTGCTGCACAAGCTGCGCCCTGTCCTCCCCTCGCTGTCCAGGTTGGCAGAGGCATTCAGTTGCTTCCTGCTAGCACCTGCTGCGCAAGAATTCCCCAACCTCCATCACCTTCTGGGAGTGCCTCCCTCCACTCCTCCCCATCCCATCCTCCTTTGACACCATAATCCCGGTGTTGCCGACGCACTCAAGTCGCTCCTCCTTGGGACAGGACCTTGTCGAGAGGCCTTGCGGCGATGCACATTCCGCTGCTACGAGCCTCCTTGGTCCGCCATGTCGGCTCTGGGCTAAGGCTCAGAGGTGGGGCAAGGGTGTATACCGGGCGCCGTATGAATCGAGCTGGGTGGTTTGGGACATTATGCAGTATGTTCGCTTTTTTGTGTTTTCCTTCCCTTTCTCCTCTCCCACCTTCTCTCCTTCCTTGTTCCGTTGTGGACCCGTTGTACGTGTCCAGAGGGGGAGAATGTAAGGATTCTGGACGGACTTAGGGTTAGGGTTCATGGACTTAGGCCTCAGATGCTAGCTACATGGTCTTTAGCTTTCCACCACATCACTTGTTGCTACTTCTGTGTTATCTCTGGCTATAGATCAGGATCTAACGCAGCTGCGACCGGTGTGAAGAAGGCTCAACCCCCCGTATTCTTACATCACGGCTGCAAGTGTCTACGCAAAGAGTTGGGCCCAGCTGGATGCTTACTATGAAGTGAGCATGTTTCCTGGCAACGCTTGGTCGAGCACGATTTGACTTTTCGGCGGAGATTTTGGCTATGATAGACGAAGCGTTAACAGCGGTTGAGCGGTCTTGAAGAGTTCTCGTGCCTTGGCGTGACTGGCACGATAAGAAGGTCTCCATGAGCGACACAGGATCAACCGAAGAACGACGACTTAGCTATGATATTGCACAGGCTCGCTATATGCTTTGTAATTCCAGGAGGTCCGGGCGGCAAGGAGCTGGTGAGATGGAATGCATCAGCATAGCATGTACGAGTAAGGACTCGCGAAGTTTCAAGTGGCATACGGTCATTGTCTGTCCTGATCGTGAGTGTTGTGGGGCACACGCCATATCTAGCTCGCCATGTCAGCGCAAAAACACGTTGTGGACCTGGATATGCACCCTGACCCGGAAAAAGGTTCTGACGTGCCGTTGGGCAGATCAGACGTATCAATAGTTGCCGTCTATTGCGATGCTCGCTTGAACGGAGCAGGCAGAGTTGTTGAGATACAGCCACGAATGGCGAGAACTTTGTACATGTCAGTTCACATGTCATATAAGAGGGGACTGGAGACCCGCGGCTTACCGTTCCGCAGCGCCGCTGTAGTCTTGTTGCTATAGGTTTACAGCGATGAAGAAGGAACAAGCCTGAAGCGGACGCGTCGCGGAATAAGCCCTAGTCGGACGACATTTCCCTAGTCTCATACTAACCGTGTTAAAGTTTATTAAACTCCTAGAAAGCTGTCCGATGTATTGCTTAACCACTGGACCATGTCATGCTTCACGGAATGCGGCTGCAGTAGAAGAGTGGAGGTAGTCAACGTTGTGGGCACACTAGGAGTACGACGATTGCGAAGATAGTACTGCCCGTGTCAGTTGGCGCACACCTCCGATCTAAGATTCAAGGTCCGCGCGCTAACCCTGGACCGCACCAATTTATCTCAGTGTACATGTTTCTGTCGTCGAGTGGACGCCTTCTGTACTTCAGGCTC